CTCATGATCCTCGCGCGTCTCCTCCCCCTGTCTCTCTCTCCCTCTCTGTATCTCTCCCTCTCTCTGCTCCTCCAGCTTCTGGACCGAGACTACTTTTTCATCATTGTCTCTCTCGCTCGCACCGGATGCCTGAGACGACACGTCGCGGGGCATGGCGGGGCGGTGCGGGACGGGGCGGGGCTGGAGGAGCGTCTGGCCGGGCGTTGCGCGGGGTGGGGCGTTGGCCGCGAACGCGCAGTCAGCGGCAGCACATTATGCCGGCGTCCTGCGTCAAGGATGAGAACGAGGGGCAGTTCACGGCGTGTGCGCGCTTAGTTGTGTATTTATCATTCCGGTTACTTCGGAAACTTGCAGTAAGTAAGCGCCCGGCTGATGTGGAGCATTGCCTCTCAACCCAGGATAGACCAAACCCGAGAGTACACGACGTAGCCCGCTGTGCCGTCAAACGAAGAGGAAAGCAAAAGTCCAGCAGAAGCAGCTCGCTTCTACGACCATCACGAACGGATGTGCCTTATTGTCCGCTGTTTGTAACATTTTGTCCTTTTTTCTGGTCCGCAGGTTAGTATCCGGTTCAGAAGCAGCACCGTCAGTCAGCCCATGTCATAGAGCCTACCACAAAAACAATGGTAAACCCGACGACGGCGACGAACGTGAGTCCAGTCGTAGGCATCCGGCCCAGCACTAGAGGTCCGTGACCTCCCGGCGCGATAGGCACCCCGCTCAGCGGGCGCGCGCGCCGGGCCTGCCGTCCCCCAGGCGCCCCCCACCTCGGGAGGGTTGAGCCCCCGGCGCGATAGGCACCCCGCCCAGCGGGCGCGCGCGCCGGGCCTGCCGCCCCTTCGTTCCGCAGGCGGCCCTGACTGTGAGCCGTGACCCCGCCCTCGGGCACCGAGGCTCCTGGCGGGCTTCACAGTTCACACAGGGGTGCTCCCTTACGTTTTACTTACTAACGGCAGAGGAGCAAGTAGGTAGGAGTGTTAGAATTGGTAGAATGTTGGCGCGCGCGCGCGCTCCACATCGTGCCACGTTATCAGTCTGCGCGGCCGACGGCCTCCGGGTCGCTCGGACGGTCTCCGCGCTGCTTTCGGGCCGCTCGTCCTTGCGGCTTGTAAAACGTGTGATCGTGATGGTGCTGCGGCTGCTGCGCGGACACGGGCGGAGGAGGCACGCGAGCGCGCTTACAGAGGCTTCTCACCCCGTAAATGATACGAACGTGTTTTTGTTATCCGGGAGGCCGCGCTCATCTAATCACCGCGCGGCCGAAAGCGATCCGTTTCGCGCACGACATTTACAATTCCAATTGAGGCGCTAGAATGTTGTGTGTGTGTGTGTTGCTTCGTGTTAATGACCCATCATGCCACCCAATGCTCTGCCGTGTACTATAGGACCTTTTGTAATGGGTCGCTATGACGAAGAGCACGAAGACAATGTCAATACCTGAGCCTTGCGCCTTTTATACCAAACATAAACTCTAATTCTTGTGAGGTTTTTTTCTCCAAGTAAACTGATGTAAATTCACTGCTGGCTGCTTTCGGCTTGAATAAAACGAAAACCTTCTTTGATGTACGAAAAAGTGGCGAAAAACGGGTTTTACTTTTATGTCGTTTTTTCTTTTTGTCAGAGTGCTCAAACAAACACGCCTGGTCCGAGATAAAACCGGTCGCGCTGGGTGGCATTCGAACGCCGCCGCTGTTGCTGCCGCTGCCGCTGATACCGTGGCAGGGGAGGGACGGGGAGAGAGGGGTGGGAGAGGGGGTGGGGGTGACGCCTCGGCAGGTGAGATAATGCGCTGGTCATTGTTCCTCTTGGTTCCTTTTCTTCTCCTAAAGCTCTTGTGTTCTTTCCACACGGTACGTTATCAGAGCGTTCGCTCTCCTCCTCCGCTCTCCCTCTCTGGCCCTTCCCCGCTCTCTCTCCCTCTCTTTCTTTTTCTCGTTCTCTCCCCGACGACGCGGTGCACGTGGTCTGCTCACGTGGCTAGCGTAACGCTCACCGCCTGTTCGTTCCCCCGCCCGGCCGCCGCTCCCCCGGCCCCCGGGGCCAGACCAGCACCGGCCGACCAACGGAAAGTTTTTATTTTCATGACGTCAAGTTTCCCTCCCTGCTGAAGCTCGGTCCAAGAAAATACGCGACACTGATACGGGCCATATACGCCTATTCATTGCCCCGCCGTATCCGGAGTCTATCGTCGGCGGATCCTAAATTCGATTGTCATTTTGATAGAAGAGAAACACAGATGAAAGGGGGAAGGTGACCGCTAGCAGCGCTCCAAACAGCAAAGTCGTTCTGGAAGCGGAGAGACTCTCCTCCTCTTCTTCTACTGTACCCTCTGCTCCTAGCAAGGATCCGAAAAAGAAAAGGATGAGACTTGTCGCGGACTTGTGCTGCTGTGACAGAAAGACATTCCAACTCAATAATATTCGCGCGACAAGGATCTGACGAAGTTTCCCTCTACGTCCGCTGAAAGTCGCTGTTCGCGTGGAGAAGTGCTCCACGCAGGGCGCCACGCTCGCGTGAAAATAATAATGATGATTGCCGATGCCGATGAAACCAGTTGGAGGCGGTGGGATCCGAATCGCGCGGGTAAGGCAGAGCCGGGACCGAGGGCCCGCCCGCGCCCGCCTGTCTGTCCCCCGTGCATGCGCTCTGCTAAGACCAGCCTGCCATAGTCTCTACTGTGGTCCGCTGCTCCCGCGGTCTCCGTCTGTCCGAGCCGTCCGCCCGCCCGTGCGTCCGGGCACTGTCCGCCCCGGTCCGCCCCTCACGGCTGCCGCAGCATCACGCCTACCCCATGTCCTCCCGGTCGTGCCGGCGCGGCGCCGCGCGGCGTGCCTCCATGGAGGTCGTGGCCTTCCGACTCGACGAGGCGAGACGTGACGTCGTGGCGTGGCGTGGCCGCCCTCGCCCGCTCGCTCCGCGTGCTCGCGGCGGTCCGGGGCCGGGGGCCGGGCGCCGGGCCTGATCCAGGACCTCTGACAACACGCGGGCCCCACCCGGCCCCGCCCAGCCCCGCCCGGCCCCGCGGGCTCGACCCGGCAAGGACCTGCGACCCGGCACCCGACCGGGTAAACACGCCGATAATGTCGGGTGATAACGCGGCGCCCTCCCACAGTCAGACACGTGCGCCACCACGGTGAGGCGAGGCGGGGCGGGAGGCAGCGAGGCAGGTGGCCGCCACCGTGGCGCCGCCGGGTAGCAGGCGCGGGCGCCGGCGCGCTCCCTGCTGGCGAAACGGAATGTAACGAAACAAAACAAGTGGTTCTATGTTGAGGCGGCAGCGCCGAACGACGTCAGTCCCGAAAATTTTTTATTTGCCCGCTGCCAGCGAGAGTGATAGAGGAAGTGAGAAAGAAAGGGGGAGGCAGAGGCGGAGGGAGTGAGACGGGAAGAGAGAGAGACGCCGCAGAGAGATGAGAGAGTGATTAGAAGGGGTATACAACGTGTGCGACGCGGTCGCGCCCTCACCTGATGAGCTCGTGATCACACAGTAGGCGGTGAGGGGGTTCCCACGTGGCGCCGTCCGCGGCCCGGCCAACGTCCCGTGGTGGCGGCTGCGGTGGATCGCTTAGGGAGCCGCCGGGCCGCGCCGCGCCGGGCAGCGCGAAGGAAAAGGGTCACCGCCCCGCCCGCGCGCGCCCGCCGCTGCCCTAGGCACCGCTAGGCGGACGCGTCTCGCCGAACAACAAAGCGGCGCGCAAGCATTTAGAATGGAAAGACGTCGTCGGCGAGGTGCGCGGGTGGGTGGAGGCGCGCGCGGGCGGGGGCCCAGCCGGACACGCGGCCCGTCAGTCCGCCCGTCTGACAGTCAGTCAGTCTGTCAGTCCGACCGTCCTCGCACACTGCTCGCGCGCCGCCGCCGCTACCGCCCCGCTGAGTCGCGCCGTTTTTTTAGGTCACGGCTGGCCTCAGCGGCGGGCAGCAGCAGGGCGGGGTGGGCAGGGCGGGCGCGCGGGGCAGGGCAGCGCGCTGCTGGCAGGCGCGGAGCCTCGCGCGATGCGCCCCCCCCCCCTCCCCTCCGCGGCTCCCCTCTCCGATAGAATCACGTGGCCGGCGTCGTGGACCTCGCGGTGAGCAAAGGGGGGGAGAGGAGGGGGCAAAGCCTTCATGCCGCGCCGCGCTGTGTTGTTTGTGGGCCGTTCGAGTCCGTATCACACTGTGTGGGCCTCGCGAGCCTCTAGCCGGGCGCCCCGCCCTGCCCCTCCTCTCTAACCCGGCCCGCTCCGCCTGACACGCCCGACACGGCCCGCATGCAAAATCTGCACGACGCCCCGCTACTCCCCCTCCACTCCCCGCTTCTCTCTTTATCTCTGTCTGTCTCTCTTTCTCTCGCTCTCTCTACCTCTTCCTCTCTCTCTATCGCTCACACCGGCACTACAGCACAGCAGCGCTGTTTATCCCTGCGAGCCGCACCCGCGCGGTCAGGTCAGCGGCGACGGCGGCGGTCGGACGCCGCGGACCACACGGACATGGAGGGATGGAGAGCCGGCGAGCCAATGGGCGGCCGCGCCGGCCGGCCTGGAACGCCGCCATTGGCCGGCCGGGGGAAGTCTCCGGTGCCATCTATGTGTAGGTGTGCGCGCACGTATGTGCACGTGTGTGTGTGTTGATGTCCATGTGCGTGAGTGTGCGAGTGTGTGTATGTGTGTGATATTTGATCCCGTGGCAGCAATGCCGTGTGCTGCGGCGGTGCGGGGCGAGGCGCGGCCGATAGTGAGCGGGCCGGGGACATGTCGAACTGGCTCGGGGCC